TAAAAATGCAGCGGGTTTAAATGTTTTAACAGGCGTCAACCTTAACCCTAACCTGAAACAGTGATATAACATTACAACATAAAAATACACACAATAAAATATCAATTGAAATGGCTCACTGAACGAATAAGTTTGATCTATGACAAAATATAAAAAAAAATGTTTCAATGTCAAAAAGACAACTTTAACCTAGGACAAAATGGCGTTAAATAAAGTAACGTACACAGGTAAATTTAAATATAATAATTTTGTTGTTAGTACAGAAACATATTTTACAAAATAAATTTGTTATTCATAGTACGAGTACAGAAGTGAAATTTGTTTTCGTCATACTTAATACTTATTAAAGGTGGTACATATTAAAAATAGTAAGACCAGATATAACACAAAATAAGTAAACATTGAATAACATAAATGAATTACAAATTGTGTCAACAAGTCAAATTAACACAAAAGTCAGCGATTTGAGAGTACTCACAGTTACTGAAAGCTAGTTAAAAGCCAAAAACAATTAATTATAAAAAATCATGCATCAGAGACTAAAATGTATACATTATTGTATAGGGGCCAACTGGAGCCCGCCTCCCGGTGCGGAATTTTCCCGCTGCGTTGAAGACCTATTATTGGCCTTGGTCTGTTTTCTGCTCTTTGGTCCAATGACTGATAGGTACAGGAACTTTCTGATGAACATGATGAATTAAATTAGGTAAACAGGACGTCAAATAAACAACTAGTAGTAGTACGACATTCATTTCAGTTCATCCTTCCCATGGTTCTTGAGGTCAATATTACTGTACAGCGAGGCATATAGATTCAGTGATATATTAAAAATCATGGGACACACCAAAATATTTTTTTATATAATCTATACAGGAAATTGTGTATGAATAAGGCGAATACTATGGAACGCCACAGCTGTCTTATGTGGAACTCTGATATTACTTTATGTTGTTTTATTATTACTTGATGACATTTTGTCTTTACTTAATATGGTTTTGACATTACGTAATGATGTTTTGATATAACTTAATATGGAATAGTCATTACTTAATGATATTTCGATATTACACGATATGGTTTCGTATTGACTTGATATAGTTTTGTCATTACTCAATATGGTTTTGTCATTACTCGATGTGGTTTCACCATTATTTAATGTGGTTGTGTCATTAGTCAATGTGGTTTTAACATTACTTGATGTGAATGTGACTTAACGTTATGTAGTTGTTTCATTACATGATGTGGTTTTGTTATTTTGTAATGATGATTTGCCTATTCTTTATATGGTTTTAACATTTCGTAATGCTGTTTCAAAATTTGACGATTTTACACTACATGATGTGTTTGTTTCATTATTTGATGTGGTCCTGTCATTCTTTGATGTGGTTATATTATCCCATTACTTGATGAGGTAAAATCACGTGACCAATTCGGAAAAACCTGTTCTATTTTTAGATAGATTACCAGTTGTATGTGCCTTGGATGAGTGTGGCCATCCATCGAATTTGAGTTCGGGTTACTGTTTGAGTTAAACTTTGAGTTAGTCTTCGCTTTCGAATTCAAGTCATTATTAGAATTAAAGTTTTAGTTAGCATTGAGTTTCGAGTTGGACTTCGAGTTTGAGTCACATTTAATGGTAGAGTTCTAGTTACAACATTAAATTTGAGTCACTTTTTGAGGTAGAGTAAGATTCGAATTTAAGTCTCATTTAGATTAATAAAGATTATGAGTTGAAATTCGAGCTATCTTATATGGGTTCGTAATTAAATTTTCTATCGCGGAACAAGCGCTTTTGCTCAGGCTTCCGAAAAGAGGGCTCCGGGTTATGCGTACAAAAGATAAACAATGTTTCAGTATACAAAACGCAACATAGAAGTTGAAATAAAGCTAGATGTGGTGTGATTGACAATGAGACAACTATCCATCAGAGTTTAAATGCAGTGGATGTAAGAAATCATATATAGGCAACCGAACAGCCTTCAACACACCGTTTAGTCAGTTACAAAAGGCCACCATGCACCATGTGAAAAAATTCAAACGAAAAAACAAACGGTCTCATTTATAAATAAACAATGTACAAACAAAAAAATGACACACATTTATACAACGACAACAATTGAACTTCATGCTCCTGACTTGGGGCAGGTACATAAAGAAAGTGCACGTGGCGGAGTTTAACATGTATGTGAGCTCTAAATCCTAACCTTACATCGGACTGTTACAGTTGTGTAACAGCACAACACGAGAAAAAATGTAAACTAGACAAAGTGATGCCCCCGCACTCAACTCATTTAACCGCTTATACCCCAAAAATGACAAAAACAAGTTCAATTGTCTCCCAAAAAGAGCAAAAGATAATAAAAATAAAAACCCTGACCACATGCACACCTACAATATATGTACAAACAGCCAGCAGAGTGAAAACTTCCTAGCATTCAAACTGTAGGAGGAGTTATCTGGAAACGCTCTTATGCAAGTAAATTTCCCAAAAAATTACAAAGTTCAACTATCTCCCAAAAAAGCAAATATTAATAAACATTAAACCCTGACCACATGCACACCTTCAATATATGTACAAACAGACAGTAAAGAGAAAACTTCCTAGGATTCAAACTGTAGGAGGAGTTATGCGGAATAACTAAACCCATAATGGGACGGACAGACGGATAGGGGTAAAACAATATGCCCCCCAGCTTTCAGTTGCGGTGGCATACAAAACAGTTTCATTTGGCTGATTCAATAGATCGGTATGACTGGGTAATATAAATCCATCGGGGTGATCTCGGATGCTCCAGAAAGGCACCCGTCGTGTTATTCGAGAAAGTACAAACCCAGTAATTTGGTTTTATTTGGAAGTTTACATTCAAGGAAAAGATGACGGTATTATGGTTACGACCACTGGAACATTTCCGTCGTCACATGTGAAACAGATATTCCAAAAAGTTTATTTTTCAATTAGTGCGAGGTAGATCAGGGAATTCAATTGATTACAAATAAAAGATTGATATTCGTATAAGTTCAAATGATCATTTACGCTAAAAAAAAATTCGGAGAATTCTTATTTTATAGTATTGATGCTTTGTCGCTTAGTCCGAGCCCCTTCTCCCCCCCGTTTCCCTGTAACTTTAGTGTGAGTTGATTTGAAGTGTTTCATTTGTTAACAATAAAGTTCAAGTCTTTTGATTTGTGTCGAGCCTGCGACATCAATGTAGCGGCAGTGATACACAACAAACCTATATTTCGTCGTCGATAGTGGCGTCGGCGTCTCCTTCTCCATTTTTTTTATTTCTATTGAGTTTAACCTTTCATTATACATGTTACTAAACATGTATGCCATCATAATTTTGTACTTTTAGAATATCATACTGTATTTGTTTACCTCGACTATTGTATCTGTATTTATATTGTATGTTTCTCTGTAAACTTGTATTTAGTTTTTAGAGAATAAAGTATCTATGTATCTATAGATCGTTAGGTTTCTAGTTTTTTAAATTTTTCATTTCGGGACCTTTTATAGCTTACTATAGGGTATGGGTTTTGCTCATTGTTGAAAACCATACAGTTTTGTTTTAGTTAAATAAAACCGAATTAAACTGTTTTGACATGATAAATTTGTAAACCTCAATGAAGTGTTTTAAAACTTGTATAGGAGTTATTCCGCAATTTCAAGAAAAAGCATCTACAGAAAAACATTGTTTTTTTTAATTTTTTTTTTACCGATAAATGTATAGATAAATGTACAGCCGATCAACATGACGCTTTTACACTTACAGCAGCAATATCAGGCGAGACACATGGTTCCGTGGAATATTTTACAAATTTATTACAAAAATACTGCTTCCGTTTGAGAACTTAGGATAAAAACAACAGGACCAAGTGGTTTGGGGATATCCCATTTATGTCCGAAATACTGTTAACTTTTTAATGCTTTTTTTCTTATTGTTGTCTGCCGTTCCCCTTTTTCATACCAAATAACTCTGAACAACCACTCGAACTTTAATTTGAACTTTAACTCAATGGATAGCGATACCCATCTAAAGCACATTAAATAAACGATATATTGAAATCTGTTTAAAAATAGAACATATTTTTTCCGAATTGGTCACGTGGTTCTACCTCATCAAGTAATGGGATAACCACATCAAAGAATGACAGGACCACATCAAATAATGAAACAAACACATCATGTAGTGTAAAATCGTCAAATTTTGAAACATCATTGCGTAATGTTAAAACCATATAAAGAATAGGCAAATCATCATTACAAAATAACAAAACCACATCATGTAATGAAACAACTAAATAACGTTAAGTCACATTCACATCAAGTAATGTTAAAACCACATTGACTAATGACACAACCACATTAAATAATGGTGAAACCACATCGAGTAATGACAAAACCATATTGAGTAATGACAAAACTATATCAAGTCAATACGAAACCATATCGTGTAATATCGAAATATCATTAAGTAATGACTATTCCATATTGAGTTATATCAAAACATCAAATTTACGTAATGTCAAAACCATATTAAGTAAAGACAAAATATCATCAAGTAATAATAAAACAACATAAAGTAATATCAGAGTTCCACATACGACAGCTGTGGCGTTCCATAGTATACACCTTATCGCTATTCCCGCTTGACCTGAGAATCTGTCCCGCTTGAACTTTTTACGTCATACAACAATCACTTTTCCATTGTGGCGTCAGATATTTTCTATTATGACGTCAAAATTTTACGGGAACTTTTGTGATGTCCAGTAATGGCGGACAAATAGCGATAAGGTGGATGGACTGCATAAAAATTTCGATCAACAAACAATCCGAAAGTTGAGATATTTCTATGATTGTCTACAGAAATGTTATAAAATGACTGTAATAAGTCCTGAACATGCATGAAGTATTTTCCACTGGCCATAAATTAACCAACAATCAAACAAGTAAATCAGCCTTTACTTCTATGGTTCGGGTACGGGTTCATTATACACATATTAGAAACATCTGCAGAAAAATCGTGGTCACATTAGTGTTTCAATACAATTTTCATTTTTAGTGAAAAGCAAGAAAACTTTTATTCGTAAATGGCTAATTTTGATTTACTTCCTGACAACATCATATTAGAAGTTTTGAACTATTTGCCTGTTAAAGAATTATGCATAGCTGGAAGGTAATGACATGGCTATATTTTTTTTATATTTCCTTGAGTTCTTATAAATATAAATGACAATGTGTCCTCTTACCCAGTGTTACTGAATGGTTCAAAGTTTAGTGACTATGTTGGTCGCAGCCACAGATTGAGATACAGTTAAGTCTGCTTCAAATATTGACTTGAGTCTAGAAAATTGAAAATGAGAGTTGGCTGAGAGCTAAATCTTACAACAGAAATGATTTAATTTTCTCATTAATACATTATGAACTTTCAATTTCTGTTTGCAACAGGTTCTGTTTATCTGCAGTTTGTTAGCTTATAGAGATAAGATATTTTATTTTCCAATTATGGGCCCCAAAGGGCATAAACATTACAACATCAATAATTTTTTCATAATACAATACAAACAATGAGATAAAAAAAAAAAAAAAAGTTAAACGAGAACTATTTAAGTTCTTAAAGAATACGTAGATAAAGAATCTATAGTATGTTTTTTTTTTTTATACTAATGCATTTTATTGCAAGTGTGGTTGATATAGATAACAAACAAGCAGCCCAAAAAGAAAAAAAAGAAAAATAGATATCCACATATGTATAGTACACAAAAAGTTGGATCAATTAAATATATAATAATTAGCCAAAAAGAAAGTAGAAATTAAACATGTCCATGACTCATCCTGTGTCAGCAGCAAATAGGAAAGCATTATGGTTTCCTAAAGGCAGCTGACACCAGGGGGCGATACCTTATGGGCCATAGGCATGTAAAATGTGTGTAAATGTCTCTTTCCTACCTGTATCAAAAGCAAACAAGGAAGCATCATAGGTAACTTGAATGCAGTTGATACCAGGGGACGATGCCTCAAGGATATAAGAGAACATTTGAATAAATAATATATCTTAACAATTATTTTTTTTTTTAATCGGCTAGTATGTTTGTGATATTCAGATGAATATAATTTTCTATGTCCAATCAAATGTATATACACACATAGATTTCCTTTAACTAATCTTCACTAAGGAAGATGTTTGTATATAAAATTACATATTATTTTAAGTAACTCAACATTTTCTACACTAAATAACCAGATAATTTTGCTTTGACTGTTCATATGATTAAAATAAGAATTATATTGTGCAATACTAGCTAACATACAATTTCTATCATCCTCAAATTTGTTACAATCAAATAGAAAATGAGCCTCATCTTCGACAGTATTGGAAGAACATTTATTACATATTCTGTTAATTCGGGGAATACCCTGATATCTACCTAATTCTATTTGTAATCTATGAGAAGATACACGTAATTTAGTAAAATTTCTTCTAAGTTCAAAATTCTTGATCAATGTTAGATATTTTTCAAAACCAAAATTTGTTTTATATAAAAGGTAGGTTTTCAGTTTACTGTCTGAAAATTTATCTATTTGTTTTTTCCAACAGCTAATAAACAATATTGATAGCTTGGTTTGTATATATTTCTTAGATTTGTATAAGGATTCACAAAATGGAGCATTTATGGCATTTGTATAGTCAATACCAAGTATTTTAAAAACAACATTTATTGAACCATACCATGATGTTATATTCATGTGATGTAGTGTCTTTGATTGTGTATATGCCTCTTTTAATAGAGGAAAATTATTACCTAAATTCTCTAATCTATACCAGTACAATAACATTCCTTTTATAATATTAAAATATATTGGAAATCTTCCAAGTTCAGATAACACTGCAGCATTTGTTGTTTTCTTGTGTACCCCAAGTATAAATTTACAAAATTTTATATGAAGTTTCTCACAGGGTAAACCTGAATATAATTTTTCAAAAGATATATCTTCCTTCTTACATTTAGAGGAAAGAGAATTAAACATCCCCCATATTTCGCTACCATATAATAAAATAGGTTTTACAGTGTGGTCAAAAACATGAATACTTGTTTTTACATCAGGATTAAGTGATAAAAGATCTTTCCTTAATTTGAAATGAGCTTTCAGGGATTTTTTGTATAGTTCATTTTGAGCATAACTGAATGAACCAGATGAGCTTAAATATAAACCTAGGTATTTGTATTTTGAAACACATTCCAGATTTATATTCTGAAATGTGAATATCTGTTTTACATGTCTGCCTGCCTTGTTGAAAATCAGCACCTTTGTCTTATTAGTATTCACATTGAGACACCAATCTTTGCAAAATTTATCAAGCATTCCCAGCTTTTCTCGTAGTCCTTCAGCTGATGTAGATAATAAAACAATATCATCAGCATACATTAAACAATGTAGATCTTTGTCATTGACATTAACTGGGTCTCTAGTATCTGACAAATATCTGGGCAAATCATTTATGAATATCTTGAATAAATTATATGAGCATACCTGCCAACATTCCAAAATGCCCATGGGGTTTTATGTGCAAGATGGCTCTTATAGTCCTGCAAAACCTTTAAGGGGGCCTTCAAATGTAATTTAATGTTTTTTTGCTTCGTCATACTTTTACAATCCTTAGAGTCTTGATTCTTGTCTACATGTTAGAGGACCCATGTAAAATTAAACTCAATTAGGTAAAATCTTTGAAATACCCCTTCAAGTAACAATTCATGAATTGCATTGTATTGATTGACAAGGACAATAGATATCTACACAATAATAGGTGATGTAAGTGGACAGTATCAAATATGATTCAGGTGTGTGTATATTTTACCATCTTCTGCAGTGATCAAACATGGTGTCAGATGAAAAAATAAAATTCAAATTCCAAAGATTTATCTTTCTGAAACCAAAAAAAAATGCATGTAACTTTTATATATCTAGTGGATACTAAGTTAAAACATTCCTAACTACACATGTTTGTTTCTACTAAGAGTAAATTTAGATGTGAAAACACAGCCATGTTTTTCCAATTTTACTACCTACAAGGGGACTATTAAACCCAGGGTTCCTGTTTAAATTGAAGTCATACTCACATAGCTTTGAAAGTTTTATGGATGCCATCATGATTTGGTTGACAGTTAACCAAGGATATTTTGAACTTGTCATAGCCACAATCCTATCCACTTTTCCTTGATTATGACATCACTTAATACAATTTGTCACTGAATTTTTAATTTGCCATAAGGAACAAAACAGGTAATACTAGTAGAAAAGAAACGGTTGACCCTTCCAGTGTCTACCCTCAGTTTTTGGTTGGGTTTCCTTTTGCTCAAACATTAGTTTTCTGTGTAGTGTTTTGTGAACTATTGTTGTCTTTCAGTGACTAAACTATTGGCCATACAGTCCTTGTCTGTATGCTTAATTATTTGGTTTTTTTTTACCCCATGATATATTCTCCCCCTTTTTGTCTATTTTCTTTTATATATTAGCAGATTCTAATTAAAATAAAACTTATAACCTATTTGCTTACCTATGTTGAGTTACAACTTACACTTAATAGACCTGAAAATACATGTAAATTTATTCAAATTTATATACTTTAAATTCAGAAATGTATGCTATTGTTTTATTACATATATTGCAAAAATTACAGTGGGATAGGTTTACCCCCAAATAAAACTCAAATTTTAAATGTTGATAGCATTATTTGTACCTTTTTAATTTTTCAATTTATGATCTTAAAATGTATTTAACAAAAATGTTTATATGTTTTGCATCAAAACAAGTTTTACTTTCTTTCTAAAAAATATGAATTTGATGAAAATTTAGAACTGCATGCAGAGATGATAAGAAATATTTACTTGTACATGTATATATAAATTTTTCAGATTTGATATTCTCAGACAGTGTTTGAATAATCTCCCCTTGTTACTTTTTTTGTAAAAATGCATAATTTGTCTTCCAAGATTCTGACTTGGCTATGTCAGTGCTCTGACTAATATGTAAGTAAAAATAATCAGAATGACTAAGGGAGATGAATTTAACTCTATAAAAATAAGGAGATGAGGTATGATTGCCAATGAGACAACTATCCACCAAAGTTCAAATAAAGTGGATGTAAGCAATAATAGGCAACCGTACGGCCTTCAACAATGAGAAAAACCCATACCATATAGTCGGCTATAAAAGGCCCCGACATAAAAGATATGAAACAATTCAATTGAGAAAACTAACAGCCTAATTTATAACAAAACAGTTAATGAAAAACAAGTATGACAGACATGAACCAACGACAACCACTGAACTACAGGCTAATCTGTTTTCTGACTGACATAATTGATATTAAAACAGTTTATTCATAAGCCAAAAAGACAGAATTTAGGTCAGCTTAGTATGGAAATATATTTGTTTTTTGATATATACTACATTATGTTTACAGAGTCTGTAGGAGATGGAGAAGAATTACCAGAGATTACACTTTATGGAGACATGTAGATTTAACACCCTACCGATTAGATTTGAAAAAAACATGGAAGGTTATCAGGTCACATTTCTCAGAATGTCTGATTAGTCTGAAACTAAGAGGAGATTTTAACAGTATGTATGATTCTTTATGACATATTTGTTATGAAATCATTAGGCCTTTTCCATATAGGCCTTGGTATTGACCCTTGACCTATATGAGCCCTAGGCCTATGCCTTGGGCGGATATGGGAGTCTCAATGCGATACAAGGACTGATATAGAAAAAGAACATGTTTTTTATCTTAGATAATGTCTGATTAGTCTTAAACTTTTATGTAAAATTGAACAGTATATATTAACTTCTCTGAAGTGAAATGTCTTGCTATTCTGAAACTGAGAGATTTTAAGAGTATGTATGAACTTCTCTGAAGTGAAAAGTCTTGCTTTTCTGGGACTGAGAGATATATTGGTATCACGTTGTCGTTGTCATCGTCCAAAGACATTTGGTTTCCGGACAATTACTTTAGTATTAGTAAATAGAAATCTATGAAATTTAAACATAAGGTATATAACCACAAAAGGAAGGTTGGGATTGAGTTTGGGTTATGGTCTCAACAGTTTAGGAATTAGGGGCCAAAAAGGGGCCAAATAAGCATTTTTCTAGTTTCATGACAATAACTTGTGGAACAGTGTATGGATCTCTCTGAAATTATACCACAAGTTTCCATATCACAAAGGGATGGTTAGAATTGGCTTTGGGGGGTTATGGCTCAAACCGTTTAGGAATTAGGGGCAAAAAAGTGAGAAAAAACAAGGGTGTCCTGGTTAATGGACAATTACTTAAGTACAAATTACAGTGTAAGGGAGGTAATTCAATCACAACTTTCAATTACCTCCCTTACACTGCTTTTAAATTCTGTATAAAGAATTTTTGTATTGTCTTGAGGTGATTAGCTGTCAATTCATTTTTAGAAGTCACTATTTTAATAATTTTTAAAATGCTGATTACGGTAAATTAATTTTAGCTATGATTATGTATGTCATTTTCTATTTTAAGACTTTTATGATGTATTTAAATGGGTTATTATGGTTGCAAACTCCATTGGAAATTTGAATTGAAATTATGACCATGACTGAGGGAAAGAATTTTTTTTTCTAAAAAGGGGGGGGGGGGGGGGACAATTTTTTCTCCTCAAGATTTCAGAAATCAAAAAGAAAATCCTTCAAATTTTTTTTTTTTTTTTAAAGGAAGGGGGGAAGGTCAATTCCCAACAGCATAGTGTATTGCACAAAAGCAAAAAAATTTAATATAAATTCAAATCATATAACCAATTCTAAGTTCTTTGACTACAGTTATTCTGTGTCGGATACCTATTATGTGTCAAATATTGAATTACAATCCAAATTCAGACCTGTATCAAGCTCGAATATTGTGTCCATTTTTGCCCCAACTGTTCAGGGTTGGACCTCTGCGGTCGTATCCAGCTGCGCTAGGCGAAGCAATTTATTAGAGTATGTATGAACTTCTCTGAAGTGAAATGTCTTGCTATTCTGAGACTGAGAGATTTTAAGAGTATGTATGAACTTCTCTGAAGTGAAATGTCTTGCTATTCTGAAACTGAGAGATTTTAAGAGTACGTATGAACTTCTCTGAAGTGAAATGTCTTGCTATTCTGAGACTGAGAGATTTGAAGAGTATGTATGAACTTCTCTGAAGTGAAATGTCTTGCTATTCTGAAACTGAGAGATTTTAAGAGTATGTATGAACTTCTCTGAAGTAAAATATCTTGCTCTTCTGAGACAGAGATTTTAAGAGTATTTATGAACTTCTCTGAATGTCCCCTTGGTCTGAAAACTTGGGACCAATCATATTATCATGTATTAATCTCAAGAAAAACCAAATAATATTTTAACAATATTGATGAGCAGAACTCATCTGGATACTCAGTCATGTCAGTATGGTAGTTGAAAAGGTGAATTAACTGTTCTATGAATGTTAGATCAGTCTGACACTTACAGCAAAATAAATTGCTTAGGTCTATGAATATCTGATCATTTTGCAACTCAGAGGAGATTTCACTGGTATTTACCGACTTTGTATGAAACTCACATAAGATATTTAATTTAGAAATTTGTTTGAATCTGTAAACATTTTAAAAGGTTGAAACTAAGAGGATATTATAAAAATCTTGAACTAATCTATAATTATCTGAATGGTCTGTTTACCCAAACTGATTTTTGTTTTTCAATTGTAGTGCCAATTAAGGATAAAAATCCAGTGTCAGATGCCATGCTTGTTGACTTGAATGAGAGATGTCCAAACATCAGACACATTACCTTACAAAACTGTAAACTACAGAACCTAGAGATGAAACTTCCACCAAGCCTGACTTCTATAGAATTGAATCAGTGTTACTGGAAACCTAGATGGTTTAAACATCTCCATACCATGATACCAAATATCAAGTGTCTAATACTAGAACATACCTCTAGGGTAGATAATCACGATTTAGAAGATGTTTGTAAAATTACAGGATTAGAGTCTCTTAATTTGAATGCTTGTTACAGAATTAACGAGAAAGGTTTAGAAAAGATTGCAAAAGAACTGACAAATTTACAAACCTTAGAAATAGCACATTGTAATTGTACAGATCTCATTTTACATCATATATCACGTCATCTGACAAAGTTAGAAACTCTGAACATAAGAAATAGTAAAGTTACAGATTCAGGTATTTCTACTATAGTGTCAGGACTACGCAATCTTAAGCATTTGAATATAAATAAATGTGATTTACTTACGCCTTCTGGTGTGGAATGTCTGAAGTCTCTCAAATCATTGAAAACTTTAGTGTGTGACATTCCCCATATCACATCAAATGTAGAGACCATATTAGAAAATAATGGCTGTATTATAACAGCATTAGATCGTAACAAGCCAGAGAACATTTAAGGGTCTATTTTATTTGACACTGATATCTTTTTATTTATTGTCCTCAACATGAATGAAATTATTGCCACTGAACATTATAGTAAGCAACAATTCAATTAATCTTTTCATTTGTTTCCAAATATATTTAACCTACGACTGAAAAGTCATTATTAATTATTATCTCTGACTCTAAAATATTCAGTTGATCAACAATGATTTGACAACAACTTATAGTTTCCACTGAATATATATAATTCTATTAGATTATGCTGTTTTAAGCTGGAATTAGCCAGCACTGTTGTATAACGAAATGATATGAAAAAGGCCTCCCAAAATTTCTTAAAATATGTTAGAAGGTACCAGGCTTATAATTTGATATGCCAGACGCGCGTTTCGTCTACATAAGACTCATCAGTGACGCTCAGATCAAAATAGTTAGAAAGCCAAAACAAGTACAAAGTTGAAAAGCATTGAGGACCCAAAATTCAAAAAAGAATTGTGCCAAATACGGCTAAGGTAATCTATGCCTGGGATAAGAAAATCCTTAGTATTTCGAATAATTCATACCTTTGCAAACAGTAAATTTATAAAAATTACCATATAATTGATATTCATGTCAACACCGAAGGCTGACTACTGGGCTGGTGATACCCTCGGGGACGAAACGTCCACCAGCAGTGGCATCGACCCAGTGGTGTAAATAGTTACCAAATAGTTAAATAGTTAGAAAACATACTTTGAATTAATTTTTGGCAAATCATGGCTTTATAAATATTTACCACAATATCTTGATAAATGATGCTATCCCACAATGCATCTTTCTTACACCAAATAAATGTATACATATTTTTGTAATCCATCAAGCTTTACTGTTGATAAAACTATATGTGTTGTAATTTGTCACAAATTGTGATGGGATGAGATTATGCAGAATGAAATTATGTTTTTGAAAAAAAAAATATATTTTATATAATTTACATTTGCTGTAATGTTTACTACATAAATGCTTTATGTATGTTCAGTATATGTGTTGTTAAAGATTTGTTTGTTGAACTACTTTGTAATTTTTTTAAAACGCAAGTTCATATATTAATCAAATTAAGATAAAACACAAATACAACAGATTCTGTGAAGAACATGTCTTCAACATCATGTTATTGTATCTTTAGCTCATCTAACCAAAATGGGCATGTGATCTTTTATGATATATTTTGCATTTTAATGTATTTTTAACAAATTATATATATTATGTCTCCATTTTACTCCATGGTCTTGATTTTCTAAGTGTGTCAATTATAGAATAAGTAATCGGAGAATTCAAATATAGAAAAATATTCAACAAGTGACCAAACAACACATTAATTCATCAATCTGTAAAATGCATGAGTTAATTATCAGTGTTGTTCGGTCACGAGTTGAATATTTTTCAATTTTTGAATTCTTTGATTAGTTATTCTTTTTATTACATTGACAATGGGCTTTTTAATGGAATTAAAGAAGAAACTTTAAGGAGCTATATCTTTTTCTACGCATTCATAATTTGGTTTGATGCAATGTCATAGACAACGTCTTGACAACACATATTATTGTATGATGTCAGAGGAGTGAAATTATCATGTTTATTTCACATGTGAAATTATCGGTTTTTATTTCACTGGGAAATCATGGTAGATCATTGCAACCAATGTGATAATAATAATTATTTATGAATTGAACAAGTGAATCTGTGAGCTACTGCTCACTAATGATACACCCACCCGCTAAAAGTATAAGGTAAACAGGAAATTGTTGAGTGATGAATCTGAAAACGCATCACACGGTAAATCTGACTCATATAAACCCTGAAACCAAATTTCAGAAATCCTTGTAATGTAGTTCCTGAGAAAATGCGACGAAAAATATTCATGGTACTGATGGACTGATGGACTGATGGACGGACGGACAGACAGAGGTAAAACAGTATACCCCCACTTTTATAAAGCAGGGGTATAATAAAAGAGATGTGAGTTATAACAACACCACATCAAACAAATGACATTAAAGTATCGTGAAGCCAATCAAACTTTCTAACATAAAGGAGTAGGGGCATTAAGGCCCGGTTTTGGCCCAAGAAATAAAATATTTGACAACTATTTCAAATTTGCACATATTGTTTGGAAATGCATACAGTCAGGAAATATAAATGAAAAACATAAGATTTTTTTGTCTGATGACATCACAATTACTTCAAAATATGTACCGTTTTCATGAAAATGATGAAAAATACAGAGTTTATGCAGTTTTCCATTGTTATTTCCATTGTGGAAACATCGTGCGCAGCCAAGAAACAACAAAATAATTTAAGAGAAACTTTATTATAACTATTGACATAATCTCACCAAATATAAATTTGTTTCTTGTATGTGCACATACTTTGCCAATCTAAAATATACTTAAAATTTGATGAAAAACAAGGAAAATTTAGAAGTTTTACAAAATATACAAGTTTCGTCATGGTTTGTTGCTATGGTAACTCGTTAAACGTGAAATTTGTTTCTATTTTCTGAATACCTGGTACCTTAGTCTAGTTATGACAAATTAAAGTATATGTATGATAACTTTTAAATTTGCAGTAATATTTGGGCCAAATAAGGGCCTTATTGCCCCTACTCCTTTTTGAAAATGCACTGTCCTAGTAAATAAAAATGTTCTCTGTGGAATTCATGCAATGGGAACTTTAAATTTCCCCTTGAAAAAACAATCACTCATTAGTTTAAACAATATTTATTCAGATAAATTATCACATAACGATATAATACAATTGAAATAAATGTTTAGGATTCAGAAACAAGCAAATTTGATTTTACAAATCTGTCTCCTAAAATCATTTGTTGATTAATTTGGCTGATCAAAAAAAAAAATAGCGATGAAAAAACATGCACCAATACTCTGTGGTGGATCCCGGGGGGGGGGGGGGGGGGGGTGTTCCGGGGGTTGGAACCCCCTTTTTTTTGACGATCAATGCATTTGAATGGGGACATATGGTTGGAACCCCCCCTTTTGAAAATGGCTGGGTCCGCCCCTGAATACTGGATAATGACACATATAATCAGAGCAAGAAATAATAATTACAAAATTATGTCAATAATAGAGTATTGAAGAATACATTGTAATTTTATTTGGTCAGTACAGAAAAGTAAACAATTATGAAAAGGAGCTGTAGACAATTTTGTTTCAAATAAACTAGTGATGAAAATACATGTACCTATTATACTAAACACACTGTGTGTTGTGTTATATTTATTCAATATCAACTAATTTATTTCTTGTGTAATAATAGAAATGCAGTCAATATTTACTCATACAATCTTGTTATCCACTAAAACAGACTATTATTAATTGTGTATATTTATTCTAATTAATAAGATTGCAAAAATTTGGTGTCTAGAAGGAAAATCAATTCTCTAAGTTTCATGCTATTTTCACATTTCTCGATTGGTGTGAGAAAAATATTTCTCGTCTCTAGAGAAAACTTTGTTCTCAGCAAATGATTGGTCGAAATTCAATTATGATGTAAAATTTTCTTGATTTCTTCTGAATTTCCTATTGCGACGTCATGAAAAAAGACGACCATGTCTGATGACATCACATATAAAGAACACAACTTACTGCAAATCTTTGAAGAGGAAGGATAAACTTTGTTTAGATATCGGCTAAAAATCATTAGAGAAACAGATTCCACCACTATATCTTGTGTATTACGATCTTTCTCCACTCTTAACAGTTAAATTTAAATATTTAAAAAGCACAGCAAGCCTTGCGTTTTAAATTTTAAAATTTTACTGTCGAGGGGAGAAATATCTTAACACACTTGCAGTGGTAGAATCTATATTTCTGAAATTATGAATGCAAGTTTGTATTTATATTGAAAACCTAATCCTGTCACACTTTTTGCATGAAATAAAAACATTGCAATAATTTCTGAATTTGTATCAATGTCATTTGTGTAAAAGGTTGGTTACATAGTTTGTTTGGTTTTTAAGTTACAATAACAAAAGACAACTAGTGATGAGGTTCTTGCCTTAGGGCATTGCTATCACACAAACACTAAGTTACACATTATTATTTAGTAGAGGTTTGAGTTACTATGTTTAAAGTTAGTGTTTAATGACAAAAATTATTACATAGTAGATCTTACACTGAAAATTGAGGGCACAAGGATAATATATCCCAAATTATGTCAAATATATGGTTAATATATATGATCATATATGTCCTACTTAAAAACAAATAAAAGATATGTTGTTTTTTTTTTTAAATTCATGTAGTTCTTAAATGTGTTATAGATTATGTTTTGATTTAGTGTTGAAAATTTGCTCCAATTTCTTTTAAAGTCAATTATCTTAGGAAGTTAATTTGTTACCAAATAAGACAAGTTATATGACTTGTTTCCAATACCCTAGGGGTAATTATAAAGTACATTAATTACAAATATCCAGGAAGGGAGAGAAAAATGTCTTCAAAAATAATTCTTATATAATATTCTTATTACTCCCATTTCAAACAAATCTTTGGAAATATATGTAAAAAGATCAACATGCAACCAGAAAAATGTGTGAAATTAATTTCAATAATGGCAAACTTAACAAAATCAAAACGGTTCCAAAGAGTTGTAACTTTTGTATTCAGTGTGATTTTGATAACTGTTGGATTATCTATGATATTAAATTCACTGAGAATAAAATTCCAGAAAGAAATTCTTTGGAATAAAGCTGAGAATAAAAGATATGCCGGCCATGATGGCCTGATACTGCATGATTCTGGAAGTGACAATTATGACAAGTCAGGCATGCCATACAATGTTACTGATCTGCTACCTCAGAAAAGAATAAAAAGGTTTGAACCAGTTGATGACAGAATACATTTACAGATAAATCATGTGCCCAAGTCATATCAGTATGCTTTAGACAACAAGGTAGATGTACCAATAAAACACATTTATTTTCATGGAAGTGAAAGACAATGGTATTTGAAGGAAGGACAGTCATACTTCTTAAAGGAGAAGTGTCCAGTTAATCGTTGCCTAGTGACATATAAAAAGGCTGAAGGTAGAAATGCTGATGCTGTGGTATTTTTAAATCCTTTCACGCTGCCATTAAACCCACCATGGCCAAGGAGGTCTTTTGATCAGATCTGGGCAATGTATTCTCTGGAAGCTCCACATAACACGAACTCTGCTTCAGGCTATAAGGATTACTTTAACTGGACTATGACATACAGAAGAGATTCCACCATAACTACACCTTATTTCAAATTTCTATATTATAAACAGCCCTTAACCAAAGATACAATTGAAATTAATTTAGCCAAAGGTAAAACCAAGAAAGTAGCATGGATGGTTTCAAACTGTAACTTGGTAAGAAGTGGACGTATGACGTATGCTAGACAATTAGCCAAATATATCAATATAGATATCTATGGAGCATGTGGAACTAAATCCTGCATAAAAAGTGATTCAAAAAAGTGCTTAGCAATGATTAAACAAAACTACAAATTCTATCTTGCTTTTGAAAATTCAAAATGTTTAGGATATTACACAGAAAAGTTCTCACAGAATGCACTTCGGTATGTATCTGTACAAATATATAATAATGTACACAAAACATGGTTATGGTATTGTTCACTTCGTATTCTGCCAACGGAGTGAAAAACTCCCTCAATCTTAATCCCTGCTGTAACATATTTGCCTTCTCTACAGTTAGTATTCAGGGGTGGCAAGCAACTTGGCCAGTAACTTCTTTACAGTTAGTATTCAGGGGTAGCAAGCAACTTGGCCAGTAACTTCTTTACAGTTAGTATTCAGGGGTAGCAAGCAACTTGGCCAGTAACTTCTTTACAGTTAGTATTCAGGAGTAGCAAGCAACTTGGCCAGTAACTTCTTTACAGTTAGTATTCAGGGGTAGCAAGCAACTTGGCCAGTAACTTCTTTACAGTTAGTATTCAGGGGTAGCAAGCAACTTGGCCAGTAACTTCTTTACAGCTAGTATTCAGGGGTAGCAAGCAACATGGCCAGTGACAAGTATGCCGGGTTACTACCAAACATCGCGGTATCATGTTTTAAGGGTATCAGGCAACTAAATGCTGGTTTTTTTTTCAGTTGCATTACATTACTGTTTTTGAAAACTGAAATCATATTATAAAAGAAATATATAATAGACACTAATATCATATGTATGTCCTGGGAACAGTATATCTGTATGTCCCTTCCCATTTACGGTATTAAAAGGGCCATTAAAATGTTGAATTTTCCATCTTTTTGTCCATCCGTCCCGTATCAGGTTACATGGACACATACATTCTTGAAAAATGTATATATAACCCAAAACATAAAAGTCATTGTAATGTAATGGTGTCCTAAGAGATGCACTGCCACGCCCATTTTGGAGTTGTTGGTTTTTTTAGCGGTGGGGGCATTAAGTTTTACCCTTGTCCGTCTGTACGTACATACGTACGAACGTACGTCCAAAAATTGGTTTCTGTTCTCTTACTTGAGTTTGCCTCAACCAAATGTTATGAAACTTATACACAATGCTTATTACCACAAAACACAGATCAAGATTGAATTTTGGTGGCGTCACTTTAACCGTTCTAGAGTTATGCCCCTTTATAAATGGAAAAATTGCAAAAAAATTTATTTCTTCTAAATATCAAGTAATTTTTAAAATTGGAGTTATCTTCCTTTGTCCATGATTATAGTTGAATCAACTACAATCAATGCTTCATACAATGCAATGTTTAATTTTGACTTCCACTGATAAAACACAGATCAAGTTGAATTTGGGTAGTGTCACTTTAACCATTATTGAGTTATGCCCCTTTATAAATCGAAAGATTGCAAAATTTTTAGTTTCCATTCTGTAACTTAAGTTTGCCCCAACCAAACATTATGAAACCTATACACAATATTCATTACCACAAAACTAAGATCAAGTACACATTTTTTGTTTCCGTTTTCTAACTTTAGTTTGCCTCAACCAAATGTTATGAAACTTATACACAATGCTTATTACTACATAATACAGATTAAGTACGAAATTTGGTGGCGACACTTTTACTATTCTTGAGTTTATATGTCCCTTTATAAACATAAAAATTGCTGAATTTTTCGTTTCCGTTCTCTAACTTTAGTTTGTCTCAACCAAATGTTATAAAACTTATACACAACCGTTCTAGAGTATGCGTGTTTACAAATAGAAAAATTGCTGAATTTTTAGTTTCTGTTCTCTACTTAAGTTAGCCTCAACCAAATGTTATGATACTTACACACAATGCTTATTACCACAAAACTCATATCAAGTTCAAATTTGGGTAGCGTCACTTTTACCGTTCGTCAGTTATGTCCCTTTATAACTATATGATATGCAAGCGGGGGCATCATCTGTGTCCACATGTGGACACTATCCACATTCATTTTTAATTTGTTTTACTTTTATTAATTATAACTACTATTACTATCAGTGGGTAGCCGTACTTTACACATCTAACATAAACAAATCCACTTATGATGTTCGATTATGTCAAGCATTGTAAAGATACATCAAACCCTTATGATGAAACTAATTCTTTTTTCGTACACTAGTGGAAAACATCTGAACTGGACTTAAAATATGTACTGCTTTCACCTTACAAAAATGAAAACTTATTGTCCTACATCCTGTCGATAGCATGAACTAATATTTTGGCTTTGCACAAGGTCGTGCTATTTTCTACTGCTTATGATGGCTTTACATTAAATCGTTGGATTTATACTGGTTACTGATTTAGTGGTCGTCGTTGGTTTCTGTCTTTCGTATTTGTTTTTTCGTTTATTGTTTTGTCATTAATCGTGTTTTTTTTAGGTTTCTCTTTTGAAATGTTTCACATTTTGTCTTGTTGGGGGGGCTTTATACGGAAATTGTCTATTAAATTGGCAATCATACCACATATGGAAATAAGAAGATATGGTATAATTACCTCCTTATTTTTATATTGTCCATCTTTTTTGTTTTATGAATGAGATCTATAAAGGTATAGAAAGGCAATAGTTACAATTTCTTACTTTTATATATAAAAAGTTTGAACTCGGACTTCAAACGTTATTGTGTTACAATGAGGCATTCCTTTGAGATTTTAATGAAAGTGAAAGACACGGTAATTTCTATTTTTGGCTAAGGTATCACTCCAATAAATTGCACTAAATATATATTTAAGCACGTGTGCGCAAGGTTAACCACCGTTTGGTGTTATAGATCCTGATAATTCTAACTCATTTAAGTAAACATTGTATTGATATATCTTTTCTGTACGCATGGTGCTGATTTCAATATATATGATATATGTGTCATTTTTCAAACTATAAGCCAATTTCAAATAAAATATATCTGAACTATCATATCTTTATTTCAGAAACAACGCTATACCTATTGTTCTTGGAGTGTCACGTGCTGAAATAAAAGCAGCCGCACCCCCTGGATCCTATATTCACGTAGAGGATTTCGATTCACCGAAACAATTGGCAGATTATTTGCATCGTATAGACAAAGATGACAATTTATTTAATCAGTATTTCCGATGGAAACGTTATGGTAAAATGACCAATACAAAGACCTGGTGTAGACTTTGTTCCATGCTGCATGAAAAATCCTTGCCATCCGTTACACAAAAAGACATTGATACATGGCGGAGTAAATCGTGTATTGGAGCTAGGAAGTGGGGCTACTAGTTATCTAAAGAATGCGACTGACGATTTTTTATTTTTTCATTCTTAGAGATATCCTTCTATGGTTTTTATGTAGTAGAAATCATATGGAAATCTAGCTTGTGGATTTTTTTTATCTCGGACAAGTTCTATAATGGTGGCCGATCGACTTTTTTTAAAAGAGTTATGCCCTTGGAAATATTAAATCTATGGAAAATGGCCTCGTTAGCGCTCTCAAAGGTACAATTATTGTCAGATTTTTATAAAACTTATACTATAGGTTAATATCAGTAATATCTCAGACAAGTTGTATAATGGTGGACGATCGACTTTTTTTAAAAGAGTTATGCCCCTTGGAAATATAAAATATGTGCAACGCGGGGGACATTGGAACTCTGTTCTTTTATTGAATACTAAATCAACAGTACTAAATTAACACTTTATGCATTTTTTGTTGAAGGAAAAACAGGTGTCGGGGGTGGGGGAGGAGGGGCCTGAATTAGAAGCACTCTAATTATTGATAATATACTGAAAATATTGTGTATTATAATGGATAAGCTACATGTATTTCTATCTAGTCGTCATACATTCCATGTAACAAGTGACAAATTTGTTTTGAATTTATCAAATTCTGCTTCGGACTGGTTTTCTATGAATAAATCGTATATTTATTACAAAAGTTTCAAATAAATGAACTTATTTGAACAGTGACACTTAATCTGATCGACATAAAATTGTAATTGGAATAAAAAAGAATCGAAATTTTTTTTCTCTAAACTGTACAGTTTCTTATTTTTATTAAGTTGTAGTTTTTGAGCATGTGCCCCATTGCTCCATTGAAAAATGAAATTTAGAAATAGTCAATAAGACAATAATTTGCTAAGCAAACTTAATCTCTTGATTTGACTTGTCTGTATATCATCTATAGTTACATGTTAACTTCTTCCTAAAACTGCAAGTGTGAAGTTTATTTTCCACAAAATTGGTTCACAAAGAGTATAGTACAATATAAGACACTATTTTAGACAAGCACAAAAAGGTACAACGTACAGAAAGATTGAACATACATAATCGATTCCTATGTAAATATATATATAAAAAAATATGAAAATGGTATAATTGAGTTCATATAACAGTTCGGACTTTATCTTTCGGAATTTTCCTGTTTGTTTGCTTTACGTCCAGTTGAAAGTAAGTTCGTGCATAATAAGATCAATACAACCTTTATAAAATAATGAACAAGACAATTTTACGCTAATATTGTACTAAAAGCGCGGAAATCACTTTGTAATCCGTGTAAACTCATCGAACCTTTAAACAAACTTATTATAAAGGTTATCTTATCAATGTTGTAATTAGATCTTTGAATATTGTTTACATTGGCACATAAATCGATTTTGTCATCAACAATTTAAAACAACTAAATTTGTATTCTTTTCAAATGGTTTATTGGGATGTATAAATACACATCCACGTTCTTTTTGTCGAGCCTTCGACTTTTGTCGAAAAAGCGAGACATAGCGATCCTACATTCCGTCGGCGTCGTCGTCGTTGTCGTCGTCGGCGTCCACAAATATTCACTCTGTGGTTAAAGTTTTTGAAATTTTAATAACTTTCTTAAACTATCCTGGATTTCTACCAAACTTGGAAAGAAGCTTGTTTATGACCATAAGATAGTATCCAGAAGTAAATTTTGTAAAAAAAAATCTATTTTTTCCGTATTTTACTTATAAATGGACTTAGTTTTTCTGCCAGTTAACATTACATTCACTCTGTGGTTAAAGTTTTTAAAATTTTAACAACTTTCTTAAACTATCCTGGATTAGTACCACACTTGAACAGAAGCTTGTTTATGATCAAAAGCTAGTATCTAGAAGGAAATTTTGATAAAATTTTGTTCCATTTTTTCCGTATTTTACTTATAAATGGACTTAGTTTTTCTTCCAGTCAACATTACATACAGTCTGCAGTTTAAGTTTTTAAAACATTTATTAGATTCATAAATTATCCTGGATTTTTACCAAACTTGGACAGAAGCTACTTGCAATCAAAAGATAGTATAGAGAGGAATATTTTTATTTTTTTTTTTCCTCATTTTTGTTGAGCCTGCGATTAACAGCAAAAGTAGGCGATACACTGGGTTCCGCTGAACCCTTACGAATTTTTCTATATAGAGAATACTTTATCTATATATAACATGATACATATTTATTAAAAGGTTAAATCCTAACTATCCTACTGTCTGTCGATATTTTTATTTTGGCATTGCACAAGTCATGTCTTTTTTGACTGTCCATGACGTTAAAACACTAAATCCCTGGGATGTGTTTTAGTTGATTTTAGACTCTGATGCATGATTTTTTTATTATTAATTGTGTTTGGCTTTTAACTAGCTTTCAGTAACTGCGAGTACTGTCAAATCGTACTTTCGTGTTAATTTGACCTGTTGATACAATTTGTAATGCATTTTTGTTATTTAATGTTTACTTATTTTGTGTTATATCTCGTCTCACTGTTTTTAATATATACCACCTTTGATAAGCATTTAGTATGACGATAAATTTTCACTTCTGTTCTCGTACTATGAACAACAAATTTATTTATTTTGTAAAAAATATTTCCGTACTCCATGTACTCCTTACAACAAAACTATTTTTATTTACCTGTGTACGTTATTTTATTTAACGGCATTTTGTCCAAAGTTATAGTTGTCTTTCTGATATTGTTTTACATCTCACCCCCCCCCCCCCTTTTTTATTAGGGCTCCGCCGAATGGCGGACGCCCTATAGTGATCAGTCTGTCCGTCCGTCCGTAACAAGTTGTGTCCGCTCTATATCTAGAGAACCGTTGTGATTTCAAAGTTTATACTTGACATGTATATTAACCAACACCAGAGGGTGTGTCATAATGTATGAACAACTTCCTAGGTCAAAGGTCAAGGTCAAAAACTTTGGTTTTAGTTGACAACCCCATGTCCTATGGTAAAGATCGTGTCCGCTCTATATCTTGAGAACCGTTATGATTTCAAAGTTTATACTTGACATGTATATAAACCAACACCAGAGGGTGTGTCATAATTTATGTACAACTTCCTAGGTCAAAGGTCGAGGTCATAAACTTCGGTTTCAGTTGACAACCCCTTGTCCAATGATAAAGATACAAATTTTTTACCACACATTATTCACAGCGGGTCCCACAGAGATGGCTCCCATCTCAATGATATCTAGTTAATTTTGTATTTACATTGCGTCATAGATCGAATTTATTCGTTCAGTGTGTGTTTATTTGTTTTTGTTAATATGTCTTTTGATTGAGTTAATCCATTTCAATTGATATTTTATAGTGTGTCTTTTCATGTTGTGATGTTACACTATTGTTTCAGGTTAGGGTGAAGGTTGGCGCCTGTTAAAACGTTTAAACCCGCTGCATTTGTTTGCACCTGTCCTAAGTCAGGAACCTGTTGTTCAGTGGTTGTCGTTTGTTGACGTGGTTCATAGGTGTTTCTCGTTTCTCGTTTTTTTTTTTTATAGATTAGACTGTTGGATTTCCTATTTGAAGGCCGTACTTTGACCTATAATGGTTTACTTTTACAAATTGTAACTTGGATGGAGAGATGTCTCATTGGCACTCATACCACATCTTCTTATATCTATAAACATTTACTGTTGAATATTTCAGACGTAGATTTGTTTTTTAAAAGAGTACATGATATTACCGTATGAATTTATTGATTAAACAACATTATATAGAGTGTTATAGCTTACAGGATTATGAACGTTACCTATATCTGATAGCTGGATGCGAACATTTGCGTTTTTGCGGTTTGTAAACATATGGAGACGTTGCATGATTGCCCTCTTTCCACCAGTGACTAAAAGACGAGTATGTAAACTGTAATATGTCACCATACGACATTTAACACTGAGCAAACCCCATACCTTATAGTAATCTATAAAAGGTCCCTTGCTTTGCAAAATGTAAAACAATTCAGAAGAGAAATACAACGATCTATGCTTAAAACAATAAACGAGAAATAAATATGACAAACAGACAAATTGATTAAAGGCCCCTTACTTGGAACAGGCACATAAAAATATGGCAGGGTTTAAACATGTTTTTAAGCCCTCAAACCCTCCCCTAACCAGTACACGTTCAACGTATTTGGTGTTCAAACGCAATAAACTGTCGGAGAAAGGCAGGAAACACGACATGTTTCTGTTTCGCTATATCTTGTTTTCCTTTAGCTTTGTTTGCATTGTCGCCATATGAAATCTCAAAGACGAAAACGCGAAATGGCTGCATTCAGCCCCTACAGTTATCAATAAAAATAGAATGGTTATGAATTCAGTCTTGTCGTTGTAACGTTGGAAAAAATCATAGGGTGTATTATACATTACGGAACGGTGAGCTTTTTGCCATCACTTGGCGTCCGTCGTCGTCCGTCTGGTGTAAACTATTTCAAACATCTTCTCCTCTGAAACTACTGAACCAATTCCAACCAAACTTAAGCTGAATGATGCTTAGGGTATCTAGAATAAAGTTTGTCTTTTATTTACTGTTTCGTCAAATAACATGGCCGCCATGGCTAAAAATAGAACATAGGGGTAAAATGCAGTTTTTGGAAAGTTTGCTATAGCTTGCTTAGCAATATACTTTCCTAAGGCATCGGCCTCAAACCGGAAGTTGGACAGACTTATCGCAAGTGTTCTACTCCTAGATAATGTAGTACTAGTGTTTGATTACTAATTCTAAGAAGATGTTTTTGAAATTTTGAGTTACTTCTATTTTGATTAGCTTACAGCTTGAATTAAAATGTACTGAATGTTCATCGATAATTCAAATGAATTCAACTTCATTTTGAAAATGGCTATCACAAACACTACTTCGCGGATCTGCGCTGTGCGGAAATTAAAATCAATACACATCTACACGAGACAGCAGTTTCTACGTTATGCTTTTATCGGTATTCCCCAGACATGCGTGAGATCCATATTTATACTGCACTCGTTCTATTTGAGCAGTCAAAATGCGTTGACCGTATATTTCCATGTCATATACAGTCACTGACCTGATATCACTTTTCCTCATGAATATTTAAATAGAAATTGCCGAAATTATAATTAATTATTCATACGACCTATTCAACCTGTTCTTGTTTCCAATGTATACAACGACTCAAACTTATTTCTTTTGCAATTTTTCGAAAAAAAAACATATTTCACTTGTTAATATTTTTGGTTTGCAAACTATAAATCATTATGTTTTATGCTTATTGTTGATATTTTAGTTCATTCTCAAACAAATTCGTTCACCATCGACTGCGGGTTTCAACAGGTAATGTACATTTCATTGTTATGTATATTTCCCCGCCTGCATGATATGAGGCGTTTTTATAAAAGGGGGAAGTTTCCCAATA